CTGTCAAATACACATATTAATACTAGTAAAAATTACATTAAACTGTCGATGGTAAACCTGCTTATTTTGAACATGGACTGTTGATTTCCCTCTACATCACCCTACATATATTTTTAAACACATTTCTTACCTGCCCCAAGTTTAATGCCTTATGTTCCCCTGCCAACTTTCCAAACTCAACCCTGTAAATGAAATAGTATCACATTTATCCAATATTCAGAAATGTTAAATGTTTTTAATGATACAAAATTTATCAAAATTCATAGTTAACTTTCACATCATATCAATATCAAGAGTACTCACAAACAAGAGGCCCAGAGGGCCTGTATCGCTCACCTGGATACCTAAGCAATCATGGCAAAATATTCTCCAAATGAGATCCAAGGGAATATGACAGACACCAAGGCAAATCCTTGTAGCATAGCTATATTAGATTTTTCATGCCCAGCAATTTTATGTATGGTTATGGGGTGGGGGTCTCAACTGTTTCCAAGCTTTGACTTAGCAACTAGGTCCCTAGAGTTGTGGCCAGACCCCGAATCAATTCTAATATCGTGACTGCATTTGTCTCTTTTTGCCCAGCATTTGTGTAGTTTTGGGGTGGGGATCTCAACCGTTTCAAAGTTATGACCCAGGGGCCAAGTCTGCAAGGGTGGGGCAGACCCTGGGATCAATTCTAATATCATGACTGCATTCGTCTCTTTATGCCTAACAATTGTATATATAGTTTTGGGGTGGGGATATTAACCATTTCGAAGTTATGACCCAGGGGTTAAGTCTCCAAGGGTGGGGCAGTTCCCAAGGCCAACCTGGAAGCATATGTACAATGGTGGGGCTCTCAACTGTTTCCAAGCTGTGACTAAGAAACTAGGTCCCAAGGGGTTCGGTCAGACCCCAGGGTCTATTCTAATATCATGATTGCATTCGTCTCTTTATGCCCAGCATTTGTATATGTAGTTTTGGGGTGGGGATCTTAACCGTTTTCAAGTTATGGCCCAGGGACTATGTCTCCAAGGGTGGGGCCAGACCCTACGGACATCCTGGAAGCAAATGTGCATTCTTCTCTTTATACTCAGCAATTGTATATATGGTTATATGGTGGGGATCTCAACCATTTCCAAGTAATACATTTTATTGGCCCCACCCCTTAGCCCGGGGGGTCAGCCCCACCATTTGTACAATTTTGAATCCCCACCTCCCATGAATACATCCGACCAAATATGATCAATATAAATGGCATAGTTCTGCAGAAGAAGTCGTTTATAGCCATATAACCAAATTGCCCCCTTTTGGCCCTGCCCCTAAGCCCCCTGGGGAGTCAGCCCCACAATTTGTACAATTTTTTATCATCACCACCTTGGGATGCTTCCAGTCAAATATGGTTGATATCCACTTCTTAGTTCCAGAGAAGAAGTCGCTTAAAGCAATATGGCCAAATTGACCCCTTTTGGCCCCGCCCCTCAGCCCCCTGGGGGGGTCAGCCCCACAATTTGTACAATTTTGAATCCCCACCACCTAGGGATGCTTCCAGTCAAATTTAGTTTAATTCCAACCAGTGGTTAAGAAGAAGAAGTCGTTTAAAGAAATTGTTGACGTACGGACGGACGACGGACGCCAAGGTATGGCATAAGCTCACCTTGGTCCTTCGGACCAGGTGAGCTAATAATCCATGATAATTCACTTCAAGTCCATAGAATAACTCTCCTCTTTGATAAGTCATCATGTGTACTCCGATAACCCTCTTATTAGCCCCCGCGAGTACTAACAGACAACTGTTACATTAGCTTCTGTGAGTACTAACAGATAACCCTAACATTAGCTCCTGTAAGTACTAACAGATAACCCTCACATTAGTTATCATGAGCACACACAGATAACCCTAACATTAGCTCCTGTGAGTACTTACATATAAGCCTCACATTAGCTCTTGTGAGTACTGTACTATCAATTAACCCTCATATTAGCTTCTGTGAGTACTAACATATAAGCCTCACATTAGCTCCTGTGAGTACTAACAAACAACCCTCACATTAGTTATCATGAGCACACACAGATAACCCTAACATAAGCCCCTGTGAGTACTAACATATAAGCCTCACATTAGCTCCTGTGGGTACTAATAGATAACCCTCACAAACAGAAATCAAAGGCTCAGTGTTCGTAAGCTTGAAGATGATACAAGAAAACTTGTTTGATCCTTTGATGTACATAAAAAGAATCCTGTGGAAAGGGTAACAGTATTATTTACTGGCTTTGTAGTCGGGTTTCTCTCCTCTATAATCTTTAACAGACAGGTCTCAGCCTAGTGATGATTCATAAACAATACTCCAAATCAGTTATTGTGAACACTAACAGATAACCTTCCACGCTAAAAAATTCATCATGAGTACTCATAGATAACCCCTTCTTATTTAATAGTCATTGTGATTTGTCAGGGAGAACTGATTACATTAGATAGTTACCATCAGTACTCATAGATAACCCCTTTTTATTTAATAGTCATTGTGATTGGTCAGAGAGATTTGATTACATTAAATAGTTACCATCAGGACTCATAGATAACCCCTTCTTATTTAATAGTCATTGTGATTAGTCAGAGAGAACTGATTACATTAAATAGTTTCCATCAGTACTCATAGATAACCCCTTTTTATTTAATAGTCATTGTGATTGGTCAGAGAGAATTGATGACGTTAAATAATTACCATCAGTACTCATAAATAACCCCTTCTTATTCAATAGTCATTGTGATTGGTCAGATAGAATTGATTACATTAAATAGTTACCATCAGTACTCAGAGATAACCCCTTATCATTTAATAGTCATTGTGATGGGTCAGAGAGAACTGATTACATTAAATAGTTACCATCAGTACTCCTAGATAACCCCTTATCATTTAATAGTCATTGTGATTGGTCAGAGAGAATTGATTACATTAAATAGTTACCATCAGTACTCATAAATAACCCCTTCTTATTCAATAGTCATTGTGATTGGTCAGAGAGAATTGATTACATTAAATAGTTACCATCAGTACTCATAGATAACCCCTTCTTATTTAATAGTCATTGTGATTAGTCAGAGAGAACTGATTACATTAAATAGTTACCATCAGTACTCATAGATAACCCCTTATCATTTAACACCAGGTATCCTATTCTAAACTTACCATATGTTCTTCTCAGTGCCCTTCAGCCTATTAGCCATGCCAAGTTTTGAGGATGCCATATTTCTCTGAAAGACACATCAACAAGGTACTTAATCTATACTGACAACTTTATTAGGGTATCGGAAAAGTAATGAAGTGGTATACATGCAGTACCAAAAAGCTCTCAAAAATAGGCAGAGCAATTAATCAAATCTGAGTTCAAATGTATGTTTGTACATATTAGGCCTACATGTCAATGGAACATAGAATGAAATTAAATTTCAATGCTTAAATTATCAGAGTGTTTTACAAACTTTTTGCATATCCTTCTGTAAAATCAAGTCTGCTGTCCTTGCCTTCTGTTGATGTAATCTAACGATGATCAATTCTGACAAATTCATATTGATTATCAGAATTGACAGGTGTAATAAGTTATACATTAGTTGGCCCATCCCCCCCCCCCCCCCCCCCCCCCCCCCCCCCCCCCNTATTGTATTGTTTATACAAACAAAGATAATTACAAGTATTACATAAGATACATAAGAAATATAACAGTACATGTATCTCTGATACATGGTGCATAAAGTGTTACAAGTCATCATGTGGACTGATGACCAGCACCAGGCAGCAGTAAGTATATACATGCCCACATAAACCAGCCCATATATAGCTCAGCCAGGAGAAAATCAAGCAAACTGCAAGTGCATTATCAAACATTTTCATTCTTTTTTTTTCAAATTCTGAGCAAACTACATGCTATAAAACAAAATAATAATACATGCTACAAGGCAAGATAAAAATACATGTAGAAAAAGACAAAAATAAATTCATGCTGCAAGACAAAGTAAAATGTAAGCTACAATACAAAACAAAAGGAAAGAGGTGTAATATTAATGTGATTATATTGCAAAGTGAAAACGTTTTATAGAAAATTTAATATAGTGATAAAAATCATATAATATATATATTTTAACAAAACTATGGGTTTCACAAACACAAATCTTATTAAAAATAAAACAGTGGGTAACCATGCCTATCATTAAAAGTACACATTATCGTTAATCATGTCTATCAATATCCAGACCCAATATCTGAAACATATCACATGTGATATGTATGGCTGTCTTGCTGAAATGTCAAAACCTGACATGTTAGGATGACACTCCATCCAGTCACATTATCGTTAGGATGACACTCCATCCAATCACATTATCAAAACACCCAGAGACACCATCAGAAAGAAGGTAGGAGAGAAAGAAAAGATTCCAATGAGGGCAAAATATCAATATTTTGCTTTGTCTTAGTTTGTGAAGAGAGTACAGAAGGACAGGGATAGCCGCTACAGCTTTACATCATGCATCAGTCTAAACAGATCAGCAGCAGCGAATCAAGAATTAAAAAGCCCTAATATACACAGCATTAAAGCATCATCTAATTCATCTAGCAAAATTTTTCTTTTCTTAATATAAAAATAAACGTGTGTATCTGTGAGGAAATCTGGAGGTAAGTAAATTTGCTTGTTCCAGTCTACTCAGCTGTAAATGAGTACATGGTTGGGCAGTGCTAGAAAAGTAGCATGCTAGCTGTGAGCGCCGAAATGGCAGCACTCGCTGTATGCTCCCCAGGGAGTTGAGAAAGATATTTGCTGGTTGCAAAGGCCCTATAACCACGGATAATGATTTGTGAACCGCTTTGAGTCGACCTTCAAACTAGGTTGTGATAAAGCAGTATATCAGAACCTCGAATTTTTATTAATATTATTATTAAATTGCTGGGATTGGCAATGCTATTACGGAATATCAAAGATGTCGGTCCATGAATCTGTTCATAAAAATCCTGTCCTGAAATCAATGTAAGTGTATCCCAAATATTCACAGCAGAGACATATAGTCATTGTCAGAATCACTTTTATTACTGATATTCTAATCCTTTAGCTATCTGCATGATTGGCGATGTTAAATACAAATACAGTATATATTGTGAGCACTATATCAACTTAATATTTTTAGGAATATTTCAGGTAAATATTGTCATGTCAAAAAGGGGGTGCGCACTATATGCAGGAACAAGTCATTCTTGGGTTATTGTTCTCGAGTTTCAGGTCCGCCATATTGAATCAGTCAATCAGTACTCTTTAAGACACAATACCAACATTCAGAGGTGTAAACATTTAAAAGCATGACGACCAGGCACTCTGGTGTTTGGCTAGCGCCCTACTATAGCTAGTCCAATAGCCAAAGAGATTTGAGTATACAAGGCTGAATTAACACAAAACCATTGTCTTAATCATATAAAAACAATACAACAACTTATCTGTATGCAGGCTGCAAGCATTATGAGTAAGAAACATGTTTTTATGGATCAAAGTCTTCCAAAAAACGATGTATTTGGTCCAGGAAGCCATGCTTTTGTTGACACTGTGTATTGGTTGATACAAGTTTCAGAATGGCAATATGAACGAACTAACTTTAACAGAAAGATTTGATATGAAAATAAAATATCAATTTGAAAACGATTTTACCTCTCTGTAATAACTCATAAATGATAATAGATGTAATGGATTTAGCATAAGCACCATTTTTCGTTTTACACTGAAATCTGCAAAATACACAACCGGTTTAAAAAATGAAAGCATGGTGTTCTTTCAGCAACAGAACAATGTTTTGTTTTAAGTTATGCCGTCTAGATATCTTGATATTTTTTTATGTTTACATCATATTCAATAATCATGAGTTATAATATATAAAAATAAAAAAAAAAAAAAAACCCCCCCCCCCCCCCCCTTCAAATCGTACCCCAAAAACGTACCTGCGCACTATACCTGCAAATTTACGGTATATAAAAAATTCAAACATTCTGTCTTGTATACAGGTGAACAGTTGATTTCCCTGTAGCTAGACAGTGCTACTACTACGTCTGATCCAGCAAAGAGATCACGCATTTACAAAACACTATATCAGACTACTGTAACAAGCTTTACAGGCCACTATGTCCAGGTACCATTCTAGTAAGGAAATATACACAGCTACATCAAATAACAAACACAATACCTCTAGTACTAAAGTTAAAACAAAACATATAATGAAAACACTACAATGCTGTTAGTAACATGAAGTGAGTTAAACTGGAGACTACAGAGCAAGCTAGGTTTATCTGATAGCAGGTTGATACTAGTTCTTACCAAACACCTAAAAGACCTGGTGTTATAATATAAGATGTACTTCTGATTATTAATCACTCTTATTCATTAGAATTTTTCATATATCTTAACACATTGTAGTATCAAAATACACCTCACTGATATCGTAAGCATGATGTGCCACTACGCCTCAAGTAAGTGACCTTGAACTTCCACAAATAAAGTTTTTAGCTTATGTTAAACAAATTACTTGCATCAACAGAGCATGAGACAAAAGTACATGATATACTTAACTAGCATCAGTCCCATAAACAAACCTAGCTTAACTACAAAAAAAAGAAAAAGAAAAGTCAATTTTTGGTCGCAGGTCAAGCAGTCCACACGTTGACTTACATGTTGCGTTGCTAGGATACAGACATAGGGCTGTAACCTAGATAGAGTTTGATTCACAGGCTTAAATTGCCTGCAAGCCAAACACAGGTTTCTCCCCACTCCAGCCAGGCAACTCTGCATGGTCCTGTCTCACCAAAAAACACAGATATTAATATATTTGATGTCTATACAACTAAACAATTTTCTGTATAATTATAAAGATTCCTTAATATATGGCCCCAACCCTAAGATCCCCTTTTATACAACACTGATGACGAGTATCCCTGGTCCTATGATGCTCCTGGCCAATGCTTCGAATCCCCTTGTAAGTGTGGTCTCCACATGCCCCGGAGACTCTGTAGACTAGGTTGCTGAGCTTGGTTCAATTCTGAGCATTGTTGCTCGGCAGTGACCTCAAGCCATTTAAATATTTTAAAGCTAGCATATTCCTAACAAGTCGACATTTTTGTCTCTCTATTCCGGATTGCACATAGCTTGTATATTACTAGATTTGATAATAGCCACTAGTGTTAGCAGGTAGCTTTTAAATATTTTAAAAGTTTAAGGATGTGACCAGTGTATGCACTATGCAAACTAATCAAGAAAGTAAAATTACTGATGTATAATAACATCCTGAAAGTTGATACATCAATGTCATCACATACATATTTCTTTCGATGCAGAATTCATCAAGAAGCATTAAGAATCTCACTCATATCTGTTAAATGTAGATGTCTGACAGACCTAAAAGAATTAACATCAGGGATGTAACACACTTATAGGAAGAAAGTTTTGAACGACATATATGGCCTTGACGATTTCTCCCTCCGGTGTAGATTGATGGGTCGAGACGTGCCTGACTAAAATGTTGACTATTGCTAGTTGGCGTTAATGCTTTATAAAACAAGGCTAAGCCATATGTAAATTTTAAGATACCTTATATAATTTAGTGGACACGTGAAAGATGGACATTTTATTCTCGAAAATTGTTATTTATTCTCAAAGTTGTGCATTTTTTTAAGCTCTGCCTATAGTTAGATTGTCCAAGTGCATTCGTTAATGGTGGAATATTTCAGCTCCACCTGAACTGTTTCAACCAGGATATCTGAATGTGCACTATGACTGGCTGAAGTTGATAACGAATTTTCTATTTCTGGGCGAGTTCTAGATCCTTACAGTAGGGCCTTAGCTTTGTGCAATAGTATTTTTTCTTTTATTCGCGCTTGGCAATTAACCGCGAGAAGACCTTGTATCTATAGACTTTCTGATGACTCTGACAATACGACGTATCATTTTCCCCACCCCATCATGTGAATGGTTGAAATGGAAGGGGGAGGGGGACAGACGTAGTCAGTCGTTTCGGTAATTGTAGGCCCAATACTTCTTGATACATCCAAAAAGTCGTTTCGATACCACTTTAGTAGTTGTTTGACTTTCGTTTGAACTAAGCACTTTGTTTGCCTTTTGTGCCCCGTGTGTTGCTGTTATTCTATATTTTTATGATCATATTCTACAGTATCGACGATACTGTACCGAAACGTCTTGCATATCAAATGGAGGTTGACCCCTGCAGACTTCGACCGACACATGGAACAAACAGACTTTGAATTTCTTTTATTCGGTGACACAAGATTTGTTCATTTATTTAGTTTTAATAAAAACACTGTCATCTTTCAATTAAGTTTCCTTATCATTGTAATGTTCTCACCGAAAAACGCAGCTGTCTCCTTTCGATCTTGCAGGTGTCGGACCCGGGTTGAAGAGGTGCTTGCACGGGAGGTAACTCGAGTCCTGTTAAAATCAATGGTGCATTAGACTCAGTGCTGCAACTATACGCTGTATATTTAACCACGGACTTAAAATCTAATTCCGTGATTTAACTAGTTAACACGTGCACTTTAACATACATTCGATGCACTAACCTAGCCATCTGTAAAAATGTTGGTATAGTTTTCTAATTAATTGCGATTTTGTTTTCGTTCTAGTTGCTAAAATGCAATGCAAGGGAAATAATTCGCATTAAAATCAAGCATAAATCGACAATTCGTTGTTCCCTGGAGGTATGTTCGGTTCCATATAAATAGTGACTGTTGATTGTTACTAGGCTATCTTTTGTAATTAGTTATAGAAACGTATTTTATTGCTACATTACATTTTATTTTTACATTTACAACAGTAACATATTTGTGTCTATATTTTAAATGTTCAGACTGTTTAAGATTACATAACTTTATTTACAAACGTATTTTTTAAGTCTAGTGTAGGGGGGCTCTATCGGCTCCTGTATTGAAAACTAACTTTATTTCTTACAGTTTGTTTCGTAGAAAATTGATATATGATGGGATGTTAAAATACTCAACCGTAATTGCGCGCGTGTGTTCTAATAGATATGGTTATACTTTAACTGGGAAAGCGTGATTAATTTATCATAAAGCTTAAATTATTTTTACTTACCAGTTGTTTGTTTTATTTTATTGCAGATCATTCCAGCGTCTGTTTCAATCTCTTCATATTATTAAGTAAAAATATATGTTTAGTACGTTAAAAATATTCATTTACTTTTTTCTCCAGTTAAACTTGCAGTTGTGTACAGTTTTCTTTCTCTTTGTTTATTTATCTAGTATGATTGATCATCTGTTTGTCGCACCTTTGTTTGGTCAACTTAACTGTTTGTTTCATCAACGTTGAGGACATTCGACCGTTATTATTAGTGTCTGTCTTGTAAAATCACACACCCCTTGTTTGCGGGTTTCATAGTTATATATCAGTTAATGCTACAATTTGGTTTGTTATTTATGTAAAAACTTTCACGAAAAAAGCATTTCTGGCTCATCCGCTTCCCTTTGTTATTTATCACGGACAGCAACAACTAAATCCTCCGGGTGTGATACTCTAACACTCTAGCGTAGTCTTCCTAGGTTTTGTAGATACCGGATGTCATGACTCTTCCTATAACCTGTTATAAGTTAAAATATGTTTACAACTTATAAGTACTTCAAGTGTTTGTTATAATTATATCGTTCTTTTTGTGATTTATTTTAATTTCCATATATTTTCACGGACCATTTTTGAATTATATGTAAAGTCAATGTATTAGGTTCTAAGTGAAGTTTGATCTACACACTGCTAGTCGAGAATATAAACTAGGGGACACCTTAGCCAAGTTATGTAACACTGGAAAGTACTTTCAGGGTGGTATATGTAAAAAGTACATATGTTAAACCGTACTATTATAAATGAGATCATACAAGTGTGTTCAAAATGAAACAATTAAAAAAAAATAGTGTACAAAATGTTGAAACTAGGGAAATTTCGGTGAATCTTTACTTACAACATAACCAACAGTAACAGCTTATTACTAAGCTGTACGATTTCGACTTTCCAATCGTGAATTTTCCCTTTCTTGATAGCAATATCCCAGCATCCCTTTAACCTTCGGTGTTTGCATGTCGCAGTTGTTTCGATACTGAAGAGATTTCTCCAAAAATAATGACTTTCGTGTTAGATGTCGACTGCTGACCAACAAACCTACAACATGCGTACAGGGTTCCAAAGATGCAGGTTGGTGAACACTATGGACAAGTTTATGGTCGCCATCGGGATCTCGCATGGAAATTATGTTATTTCTTTGTGTGAAATGGAGGTTGGATTTTTTTGGTTATGCTAAACTAGAGTGCCTCGTGGATTTCTTATCATAACCCACTTCTAGAAAGTGAGGACGTCACATTACTTTGATTTGCCCTATGTTTACATATCGCCGAGATGTCATCAATGAAGTAGAAGACGCTTACCAACCGGACCACCTGGCCTTATTTTTCTTGTACCTTTTTTCAAATTTCTTCATGTAAATCCCTCCTTTGTTCATGTTTCGTCCTAGTTTTATCACGGTCCCACTAAAAACAGAACACAATACATCTCCAGCACACACACGGGGATACACACATAGGGATATATTAGCCAGGTGGCATAGGACTAGTAGTTAGCGCATGATAAGGCAGCTACTGCGAATTCCTCAATATTGTATTGATTAATATATACATGTATGCTAATTCTATTTACTGTATAAAATTGTATATCTATGTACTGTAAAGCGCTTTAGAGTGGCTTATGTTAGCTAGATAGGGCGCTATATCAAATGTTGTATATTATTATTATTATTATGTAAATCCCTACTTTGTTCATGTTTCGTCCTAGTTTTATCATGTAAATCCCCTCTTTGTTCATCTTTTATCCTGGTTTTATCATGTAAATCCCCCCTTTGTTCCTGTTTTTGTCCCAGTTTTATCATGTAAGTCCCTACTTTGTTCCTGTTTTGTCCTGGTTTTATCATGTAAATACCTCATTTGTTCATGTTTTATCATGTTAATCTCTACTTTGTTCATGTTTTGTCCTGGTTTTATCATATAAATACCTCATTTGTTCATGTTTTATCATGTAAATCCCTCCTTTGTTCATGTTCTATCATGTAAATCCCCCCTTTGTTCATGTTTCGTCCTGGTTTTATCATGTAAATTCCTCCTTTGTTCATGTTTCGTCATACTTTTATCATGTAAATCCCCCCTTTGTTCATGTTTCGTCCTGGTTTTATCATGTAAATCCCTCCTTTGTTCATGTTTCGTTCTAATTTTATCATGTAAATCCCTCCTTTGTTCATGTTTTGTTCATGTTTTATCATTTAATCCCCCTTTGTTCATGTTTCGTCCTGGTTTTATCATGTAAATCCCCCCTTTGTTCATGTTTCGTCCTGGTTTTATCATGTAAATCCCCCCTTTGTTCATGTTTCGTCCTAGTTTTATCATGTAAATCCCTCCTTTGCTCATGTTTCGTTCTAGTTTTATCATGTAAATCCCTCCTTTGTTCATGTTTCGTTCATGTTTTATCATGTAAATTCCCCCTTTGTTCATGTTTCGTCCTGGTTTTATCATGTAAATCCCTCCTTTGTTCATGTTTCGTCCTGGTTTTATCATGTTAATCCCTCCTTTGTTCATGTTTCGTCATAGGTTTATCATGTAAATCCCCCATTTGTTCATGTTTCGTCCTGGTTTTATCATGTAACTCCCTCCTTTGTTCATGTTTTGTCCTAGTCTTAATATCATGCAAATCCCTACTTTGTTCCTGTTTTGTCCTGGTTTTATCATATAAATCCCTCCTTTGTTCATGTTTTATCCTGGTTTTATCATGTAAATCCCTCATTTGTTCATGTTTCGTCATAGTTTTATCATGTAAATCCACCATTTGTTCATGTTTCGTCCTGGTTTTATCATGTAACTCCCTCCTTTGTTCATGTTTTGTCCTAGTCTTAATATCATGCAAATCCCTACTTTGTTCCTGTTTTGTCCTGGTTTTATCATATAAATCCCTCCTTTGTTCATGTTTTATCCTGGTTTTATCATGTAAATCCCTCATTTGTTCATGTTTCGTCATAGTTTTATCATGTAAATCCCCCATTTGTTCATGTTTCGTCCTGGTTTTATCATGTAAATGCCCCATTGGTTCATGTTTCGTCATAGTTTTATCATGTAAATCCACCATTTGTTCATGTTTCGTCCTGGTTTTATCATGTAAATCCCTCCTTTGTTCATGTTTTATCATGTAAATCCCTCATTTGTTCATGTTTTATCATGTAAATCCCTACTTTCTCATGTTTTGTCCTAGTTTTATCATGTAAATCCCTCCTTTGTTCATGTTTCGTCCTGGTTTTATCATGTAACTCCCTCCTTTGTTCATGTTTTATCCTGGTTTTATCATGTAAATCCCTCCTTTGTAATCCCTATGTCCTAGTCTTAATATCATGCAATTTCCTACGTTGTTCCTGTTTTGTCCTGGTTTTATTATGTTAATCCCTCCTTTGTTCATGTTTTGTCCTAGTCTTAATATCATGCAAATCCCTACTTTGTTCATCTTTTGTCCTGGTTTTATCATATAAATCCCTCCTTTGTTCATGTTTTATCCTGGTTTTATCATGTAAATCCCTCATTTGTTCATGTTTTATCATGTAAACCCCTACTTTGTTCATGTTTCGTCCTGGTTTTATAATGTAAATCCCCCATTTGTTCGTGTTTCGTCCTGGTTTTATCATGTAAATCCCCCCTTTGTTCATGTTTCGTCCTGGTTTTATCATGCAAATCCCCCATTTGCTCATGTTTCGTTCTAGTTTTATCATGTTAATCCCTCATTTGTTCATGTTTTATCCTGGTTTTATCATGTAAATCCCTTATTTGTTCATGTTTTATCATGTAAACCCCTACTTTGTTCATGTTTCGGCCTGGTTTTATAATGTAAATCCCCCATTTGTTCATGTTTCGTTCTAGTTTTATCATGTTAATCCCTCATTTGTTCATGTTTTATCCTGGTTTTATCATGTAAATCCCTCATTTGTTCATGTTTTATCATGTAAATCCCTACTTTATCATGTAAATCCCTCCTTTGTTCATGTTTCGTCCTGGTTTTATCATGTAAATCCCCCATTTGTTCATGTTTCGTTCTAGTTTTATCATGTTAATCCCTCATTTGTTCATGTTTTATCCTGGTTTTATCATGTAAATCCCTCATTTGTTCATGTTTTATCATGTAAACCCCTACTTTGTTCATGTTTTGTCCTGGTTTTATCATGTAAATCCCTCCTTTTTCATGTTTTGTTCATGTTTTATCACGTAAATCCCTCATTTGTTCATGTTTCGTCCTGGTTTTAACATGTAAATCCCCCATTTGTTCAAGTTTCGTCCTGGTTTTATCATGTAAATTCCCCCTTTGTTCATGTTTCGTCCTAGTTTTATCATGTAAATCCCTCCTTTCTTCATGTTTTGTCCTAGTTTTATCATGTAAATCCCTCCTTTGTTCATGTTTTATCCTAGTTTTATCATGTAAATCCCCCCTTTATTCATGTTTCGTCCTAGTTCTATCATGTAAATCCCCCCTTTGTTCATGTTTCGTCCTGGTTTTATCATGTAAATCCCCCTTTTGTTCATGTTTCGTCCTGGTTTTATCGTGTAAATATTTCCTTTGTTCATGTTTTATGATGTAAATCCCTCCTTTGTTCATGTTTTATCCTGGTTTTATCCTGTGAATCCCCCCTTTGTTCATGTTTTGTCCTGGTTTTATCATGTAATTCACTCCTATGTTCATGTTTTATCATGTAAATCCCCCCTTTGTTCATGTTTTGCTCATGTTTTATCATGTAAATCCCTCCGTTGTTCATGTTTTCTTCATGTTTTATGATGTAAATTTCCCCCTTGATCATGTTTCGTCCTGGTTTTTTCACGTAAATCCCCCCCTTGTTCATGTTTTATTTGTTCATGTTTCGTTCTAGTTTTATCATGTAAATCACTCATTTGTTCATGTTTTATCCATGTTTTATCATGTATATCCCGCCGTTGTTCATGTTTTGTTCATGCTTTATCATGTAATTTCCCCCTTTGTTCATGTTTCGTCCTAGTTTTATCATGTAAATCCCTCCTTTGTTCATGTTTTATTCATGTTTTATCATGTATATCCCTCCGTTGTTCATGTTTTGTTCATGTTTTATCATGTAATTTCCCCCTTTGTTCATGTTTCGTCCTGGTTTTTTCATGTGAATCCCCCCTTTGTTCATGTTTCGTCCTAGTTTTATCATGTAAGTCCCTCCTTTCTTCATGTTCTCACACGAACCAATGACGTAATAATCAATACCAGCTCACAGGAGAAGATAACTCTGCAATATGCAAAGACAGAATAGCACGATGATGCCCATATTCCGTCTTTGCGTATTGCAGAGTTATCTTCTCTTGGGAGCAGGGATTGATTGTTACGTCATTGGTTTGTGTGAGAAAATTACGTCGTTTTCTCAAAAATTGATGACGTTACTCTCACAAACAAGTTACGTAACAATCAATACCTGCTCCCACGAGAAGATAACTCTGCAATACGCAAAGACGCAATACGATAAAGGCACTCATCCATGTATGTTAAAATAGCTTAGTCTTGATTGATTGATTGTTTTATTCCTTGTGTTACACACATCGGAGAGTAGACATACAAATAGTACAGTATATTACAAATTTACAATGATACATGTATACAATAATATTCATTTATCGTGCAGTACTTCAAAATGACATATAATAAGAGGAAGCATTTTACACTGAAATACACCAACATCGCAAGGTTCCGATACAGTGAAATCATAACAAAAGTATAACTTTCAATGACGTACGTTACAGGTAATGATAACTGGATTAATATAGTTACATACATTGTATCGCACATATGTCACGAATAAATACTCTCTAGTAGAACAGTAAAAAACAATAAAATACACTGCCATAGTGTAATAAATACGATGTTACACCTGAAGTTAGTGACAGTGATATTACAATATAGCAAATACTCGTCAATGTTTCGACGTTGTTAATTATGATTAATTTACCATATATTTTATATCACATAGGAAAGGTAGTGAACGGGCACAATCATCTTTTTTTTACACAATACACATAATACAAATATCTTATCAAATATGGTATACTGAAATGAACATTTATAGGAAAAATTGAATAAAATATTATACAGTGCTATTACGACGTTTTAAACTTAAAAACAGGAATTTTCTTAATTTATTCAATTCCTTAATGTTTTGAGTAGTAAATAACTGATAAATAATAGTCTTATATCTGATCAGCGATGTGTCCTCTTGCCATACGGCACGGTGACACAGTCACACACCTGTATAGTAGCTGTGTAGGCCCGAGGGGTTATATATACGTGAATTCACACATTATGTGCGCTTGTGGAGCAGATTCACCGGTTCATAAATTCCAGACACGGGTCATCAGATATTAAAACAACCACCAGGTTAATCCTCGAAACAAACGTCTGAGAACACTATGCACCTGACAACGAGGGTCCTCTCCGTGCCCCAGTCAGTAAGGACAATAGAATAGTCTTGATACTTGACGTCACTTTTTATTTGACTTAAATACCGATAGAAATGTAGCTTTTCTACTATTACCTTTTTTTATTTTATAAGAAAACAATAGAAGTATATATACATCTTTAACTTTATTTTCAGTGAATCTCTGTCTGTCTTTATACTTTTAAGTAAATACAATTTTCTATTCAAAACATTTTGTTGTAATTAAAAAATGTAGCAGATGCTGTCAAAGTAATTTTGTAAACAATGCATTTCCATATTTTTAGACCGTAGTGGTATTATCAGTGTATAAAATGTGTCACAGTATTATATATTGATGGGCACAGAAAATGGTAATGATTCCTTTGAACAACGACGACAGGATTGATTATATATAGGGTAAATGAAGAAATTATAAACTTACTTTCCGGGTAAAATTAACAAGAGGCCCAATGGCCTTAGCGGTCACCTGAGTTGTATCATAGGTACTGGTAGCTTTATTTTATTGTTTAGATGTGATGTGGATATCAGCATGTAAACTAAGTGAAATACAATACTTGTCATGACAACAAGGGATAAGAACTAGAAAATATTGGTAAATGTTCCCTTTAGGGCCCCGCCCTAGCCCCTGGGGATCGGGCAGGAATCCTAATTTTACAATGTAATACCCTCATTCACTAAAGATGATTCTGACTAAGTTTGAGTTATTTTCTGATGAAAATGGAAAAAATATACCCAAAAGTGTTATTTCCTTATATAAACTTTATCCCCTCCCCAAGGGAACGGATAGCTCCGGGGTCCTGAAATTTAGGGTAGGAATCCCAATTTTACAATTTGTAGCCTCATCTACCAAGGATGATTCTGACCAAGTTTGAAAAAAAAATCAATCCACTGGTTCTTGAGAAGAAGTTGAAAATGTAAAAAGTTTACGCACTACGCACGACGGACAACGGACGACGACGGACGAAAAGCGATTAGAAAAGGTCACTTGAGCAAAGCTCAGGTGACCTAGAAACTACAAATTGTCGATAAACACACTCAAGCGCGTAGTAATTAGTTTATTGATCAAATTACACCTTAAATAATGGCTTAGAAACTGCATGGTTACCTGATGCTACAACCAACACACTAGTTTTTTCCCCAGCAATTGTCAAAAATGTTCTCTTATCCAATCTAAACGTTGCAGAGCATATGGTAGTTTCAGATACAATATATCATCTGATTTTGTATCTAAACCCAGAGACAAATAAAGACATAGTATCTGCTAAAACCAGATCCACATTTTGTAGACAGACTAACTCTGTAGGGGTAGACAATCCAGGAGTTACTTCCCTTATCCCATTTTCCTCATTCATACTTTTTTCGGTGGTGAAATAAATTAATAAATATGAGGCAAACCAAAAATAAATTAAGTCGGAAGAGAGACTCGTGAAATATAAGTTTACTTAAGCAGCATGCGCCTTAATGACATAATGTAACGTTAAACGTTTACATGCTACTGTACAAACTGTAACGGTTAGCTTCGTAAGCGACGATGCAGTTACCAAGCCGCACACACTCCAGAGACAATTATAAAACGGCTGTTATATATATGCGAGGTCATTACTACAGGCCGCGTCATGCTTGCCTGGTTACTTTTTGAAGTGAGGTAAACGACCCATGACATGACCTAGAGGAACAACCACGCTTTCGGTGTAAACAAAGATGACTATTTTTGGCGCATATTAACCGACCAATGGTATTCGATGTCAAAGGGCGTGTCAGAACGTGCGCGTCTTCCGAAATACTATAACAATATATTTCATTGGCTAAAAAGTGTTAAAGCGATGTTAAACATTTGTTGATTGGTTAAATTGAAGGTGCGCGGTTTTCATTCTCTGTTGTACTCTGAACCGTTAGCGTCACTTGAAATTACTCCCGGGCTTGCAGTGTACTGTAGCACAAACAAATCCTCTTTGGTATGTAATTAAGCTTTTCTTGACTGAAAAAATCTTTTGATATGTTGTTGTTTGACAAGTTTATCGTCTACAGTTATTTTTTTACCATTTTAAACTTCACGTTTTTATTTCTTTTAAAAAATAGACTTATTCAGCTTTTAGGGGTCATGTCGGGTTATGTTTTCAGTAAGCAGTGAGCCTTAAGCTTGCCTTATGTTACTGATTGCTACGGTATTGGTAATGTTAGCGCTATACAACATCACATTTTATTTTTTTATTTTAATTATTTGTTAGTTACTAAACGATTTCTTACATTGAAATAGCAACAAGGAGAAATCGGTGTCTAAAAAGTAACCTAAGAAGATGTGACTGGCATTATCAAAACAAACATGGCTGCTTGTTTTGACAGACCAGTCACAAATTACCGTTGTAATATCACTGGCTTTTTGGTGATCATAATGCTAATATGTTGACATTTTACATTTTATTTCAGTGTGTTGAAGTTTGAAAAAGCTCACAATGGCAGCAAGGAAAGGTAAGTTGTTTGCAAACAATCGGATACCTACAGCAGTAATAAAAACTAACGCAGATTCATAAAATCATTGCAGTACTATAGTAGACTAATTACTTTTGGTGGGAAAAAAAATCAATTTGTTTCCCACAGTCGGTTGAAGAGAAGTTTAACAGAAGGTTTGAAACGTCATCTTTTTTTTAAATTTTCAGCAGCAGCAAAGTCTCCAGCTAAAAAGGCAGCAACGGGAAAGAAAGTGGGTGTGAAGAAAGGAGGTATGTTTAATGAACAAATTCTTGTTGATAACAAGTTTGTCTCTAAACCTTTTCCAACCAAGTCTGATGTCCTGGTGGTGCGGTGTTATAACTTATGTGGATAATGTGGTTCAGTGATGCAAGTTTAGGTTCACGCCATAATAATTTGAAAGGCTGATGTCGAGTTTCTGCTTTATTGCTCCAGTGACGCATACTCTTATTTCCGAAGCACTATTTCTTTGATGCAGTTTCCGGTGCTTGTCACAAGAATCTTGTGTTTAACCTCTTGCATTGCAGGCACGGATTTAGGGGGGGGGCACACCCGGCCCCCACTTTTTGGCGGCGGACTGACCTTTTCCGGGCTTGCCAGCCGGGAATGGGAACATATTAACATTTTAAAATGCATCAAATAATGCACGGAGCTTGTATAAAAAAAATCTGGGGCTATGCCCCACACATCCCACACGGCATCTTAGCAAATATTGTGGGTTTCCGTTATCTGATATTTTTACTATATTTTCTTTATTAAAACAATATTTGTTGGCATCGCTACGCTCGTCTACTTTGTATCTTGACCCTAAAGTGTTTTTTTTATTTTACCACCTCCGCAAAACCCCAAGTTGCAACTTGCAACGCTCGGCGGAAATATACTAGCATAAGTTGCATAATTATATTATTGACCGCTCGTTATAGATGATCTGAAAATTAATACTTTTTATTGTAACCTTCCTAACCGCCCGGGCGATATTAATCATATCATTATACAAGAACGATAAAGGGTTTTTTCGGCTGACAATATTATGTATAATCGA